GGTGATGGTGAAGATGATGATGGTGATTATGATGGATGGATGGTGACAGTAAGGATGGTGATGGTGAACATGATGATGATGATTATGGTGGATGGATGATGACGGTGAGGTTGGTGGATGGTAATAGTAATGACGGGATAAGGATGGTGAGGATGGTGAGGATGGTGGATGGTGATGGTGAAGATAGTGGTAGTAGTGCCGGTGGTGCTGATGTGGTGATGGTGATGATGTAGCTGATAGGTTGATGAAGTTAATTCTGTAGGGGAATGGGATGCAGTATGACAGAAAGTTAAAGAATCAGCATGCTACCTTAAACTGATCTCTAGTTATTAAAAAAATAAAACGTGATAAGCACTAACATTGTACATGTGATGAAAGTAAAGACAGGGGATTTTAAATAATATGTCCAAGGTTCCTAACCCAATCCAGGCACCCTGATTTAAAGCCAGCATTCTAAACCTCTTACAATCATTTGTTTCATTTTCACTTATGAAGCTGAAATACAGCACATCTGGATTTCCTCAAAGAAAAAGGCAAAGCTGCTTAAAATGTTCACAGTGTGCATCCTAGAAATAGAGGCACCAGGGGCTGGAGAGACAGCTCCGTCTGTTCTCCCAGAGGACTGCTTTCTGTACTCAGCACCAACATCAAGTGCCTCATAGCTGCCTGTAACTCCAGCTCTGAGGGGTTTGATTGCTTTGGTCTTTATGAACACACACACACACACACACACACACACAGTAAAAGAATAAACTACTTAAAAAAAGAGAGATATAGATTTCAGCGTGGTGTCACACGCCTGTAATTCTAGCACTCAGAAGGCAGAGGCAGGTGGACATCTTTGATTTCAAGGTCAGCCTGTTCTACAGAGTGAGTTCCAGGACAGCCAGGGCTACACAGAGAAACCTTGTCTCGAAAACCAAAGAAGAAGAGGGGGAGGAGAATAAAGAAGAGGGGGAGGAGAAGGAGGCTAGGTCGGGCAGTGTTTTTATTGAAGGACATGCAGTTGGCAGGGAAATGATGCATAGCAGAAGTCTGTTTACTGCCTATCTGCATGCCTACCTGTCTGTCGTCTATCTCTTCTAAGCTCAGAACTCTTGGCAACTCTCTGGTGTAGGGTGTTCTCTACACTGGGATGGTATTTAGAACCATCCCAGGCCTCTTCTTACTATAAGCCAGAAGTCGCCTGTCTTCCTTCCATGTATCCTTGGTAACAGCAAGTAACAATGTCTATGGACATTCCTAAATATTCCCTAAAGGGTAACACTATTTCCAGTGAATTAAAAACATTGATATGTTTATTGAATATACAGTATATATATGGTATATTCATGATATGAAACATCTCAATGATCAAAACAATATGTTGTAATAAACAAAAAACTAAATAATAAATGTAATGTGTAGTCTTGCCCTTAAGTTAATTCTGGATTGATCAAACAACCACCTT